TACCCCTCTGACAACTGGTAGACTAGACGACGTAATTTGTGTACCCCTCTGACAACTGGTAGACTAGACGACGTACTTTGTGTACCCCTCTGACAACTGGTAGACTAGACCATGTACTTTGTGTACCCCTCTGACAACTGGTAGACTAGACGACGTACTTTGTGTACCCCTCTGACAACTGGTAGACTAGACGACGTACTTTGTGTACCCATCTGACAACTGGTAGACTAGACGACGTACTTTTATTTGTGTACCCTCTGACAACTGGTAGACTAGACGACGTACTTTGTGTACCCCTCTGACAACTGGTAGACTAGATCATGTACTTTGTGTACCCCTCTGACATCTGGTAGACTAGACGACGTGCTTTATTTGTGTACCCCTCTGACAACTGGTAGACTAGACCATGTACTTTGTGTACCCCTCTGACAACTGGTAGACTAGACGATGTACTTTGTGTACCCTCTGACAACTGGTAGACTAGACCATGTACTTTGTGTACCCCTCTGACAACTGGTAGACTAGACGACATACTTTGTGTACCCCTCTGACAACTGGTAGACTAGACCATGTACTTTGTGTACCCATCTGACAACTGGTAGACTAGACGACGTACTTTATTTGTGTATCCCTCTGACAACTGGTAGACTAGACGACGTAATTTTGTGTACCCCTCTGACAACTGGTAGACTAGACGACGTACTTTGTGTACCCCTCTGACAACTGGTAGACTAGACGACGTACTTTATTTGTGCACCCTTCTGACAACTGGTAGACTAGACCACGTACTTTGTGTACCCCTCTGACATCTGGTAGACTTGATGACGTACTTTTGTGTGTGTACCCATCTGACAACTGGTACACTAGACCACGTACTTTGTGGACCCCTCTGACAACTGGTAGACTAGACGAAGTACTTTGTGTACCCCTCTGACAACTGGTAGACTAGACCATGTACTTTGTGTTACCCCTCTGACAACTGGTAGACTAGACGACATACTTTGTGTACCCCTCTGACAACTGGTAGACTAGACCATGTACTTTGTGTACCCATCTGACAACTGGTAGACTAGACGACGTACTTTATTTGTGTACCCCTCTGACAACTGGTAGACTAGACGACGTACTTTGTGTACCCCTCTGACAACTGGTAGACTAGACGACGTACTTTGTGTACCCCTCTGACAACTGGTAGACTAGACCACGTACTTTTTTTGTGTACCCTCTGACAACTGGTAGACTAGACCACGTACTTTGTGTACCCCTCTGACATCTGGTAGACTTGATGACGTACTTTTGTGTGTACCCATCTGACAACTGGTACACTAGACCACGTACTTTGTGTACCCCTCTGACAACTGGTAGACTAGACGAAGTACTTTTGTGTACCCCTCTGACAACTGGTAGACTAGACGATGTACTTTGTGTACCCCTCTGACATCTGGTAGACTAGACGACGTGCTTTATTTGTGTACCCCTCTGACAACTGGTAGACTAGACCATGTACTTTGTGTACCCCTCTGACAACTGGTAGACTAGACGATGTACTTTGTGTACCCCTCTGACAACTGGTAGACTAGACCATGTACTTTGTGTACCCCTCTGACAACTGGTAGACTAGACGACGTACTTTGTGTACCCCTCTGACATCTGGTAGACTAGACAATATACTTTGTGTACCCCTCTGACATCTGGTAGACTAGACCATGTACTTTGTGTACCCATCTGACAACTGGTAGACTAGACGACGTACTTTATTTGTGTACCCCTCTGACAACTGGTAGACTAGAACATGTACTTTGTGTACCCATCTGACAACTGGTAGACTAGACAATATACTTTGTGTACCCCTCTGACAACTGGTAGACTAGACCATGTACTTTGTGTACCCATCTGACATCTGGTAGACTAGACGACGTACTTTATTTGTGTACCCCTCTGACAACTGGTAGACTAGACCATGTACTTTGTGTACCCCTCTGACAACTGGTAGACTAGACGAAATACTTTTTTGTACCCTCTGACAACTGGTAGACTAGACCATGTACTTTGTGTACCCATCTGACAACTGGTAGACTAGACGACGTACGTTATTTGTGTACCCCTCTGACAACTGGTAGACTAGACGACGTAATTTGTGTACCCTCTGACAACTGGTAGACTAGACGACGTACTTTTTATTTGTACCCTTCTGACAACTGGTAGACTAGACCACGTACTTTTGTGTACCCCTCTGACATCTGGTAGACTTGATGACGTACTTTTGTGTGTGTACCCCTCTGACAACTGGTACACTAGACCACGTACTTTGTGTACCCCTCTGACAACTGGTAGACTAGACGAAGTACTTTGTGTACCCCTCTGACAACTGGTAGACTAGACGACGTACTTTGTGTACCCCTCTGACAACTGGTAGACTAGACCATGTACTTTGTGTACCCATCTGACATCTGGTAGACTAGACCACGTGCTTTATTTGTGTACCCGTCTGACAACTGGTAGACTAGACCACGTACTTTGTGTACCCATCTGACAACTGGTAGACTAGACCATGTACTTTGTGTACCCATCTGACATCTGGTAGACTAGACCATGTACTTTGTGTACCCCTCTGACATCTGGTAGACTAGACCATGTACTTTGTGTACCCATCTGACATCTGGTAGACTAGACGACGTACTTTATTTGTGTACCCCTCTGACAACTGGTAGACTAGACCACGTACTTTTTGTACCCCTCTGACAACTGGTAGACTAGACGACATACTTCATTTGTGTATCTCTCTGACAACTGGTAGACTAGACGACGTAATTTGTGTTCCCCTTTGACAACTGGTAGACTAGACCACGTTCTTTATTTGTGTACCCTCTGACATCTGGTAGACTAGTCCACGTACTTTGTGTACCCCTCTGACATCTGGTAGACTAGACCATGTACTTTGTGTACCCCTCTGACATCTGGTAGACTAGACCATGTACTTTGTGTACCCATCTGACATCTGGTAGACTAGACGACGTACTTTGTGTACCCCTCTGACAACTGGTAGACTAGACGACGTACTTTGTGTACCCCTCTGACAACTGGTAGACTAGACGAGGGTACTTTGTGTATCCCTCTGACAACTGGTAGACTAGACGAAGTACTTTGTGTACCCCTCTGACAACTGGTAGACTAGACGAGGTACTTTGTGTACCCCTCTGACAACTGGTAGACTAGACGATGTACTTTGTGTACCCCTCTGACATCTGGTAGACTAGACAACGTTCTTTATTTGAGTACCCATCTGACAACTGGTAGACTAGACCATGTACTTTGTGTACCCCTCTGACAACTGGTAGACTAGACCATGTACTTTGTGTACCCATCTGACATCTGGTAGACTAGACCATGTACTTTGTGTACCCCTCTGACAACTGCTAGACTAGACGACGTACTTTATTTGTGTATCCCTCTGACAACTGGTAGACTAGACGACGTACTTTATTTGTGTACCCCTCTGACAACTGGTAGACTAGACCATGTACTTTGTGTACCCCTCTGACAACTGGTAGACTAGACCATGTACTTTGTGTACCCATCTGACAACTGGTAGACTAGACCAAGTACTTTGTGTACCCCTCTGATAAATGGTAGAGTAGACCATGTACTTTGTGTACCCTCTGACATCTGGTAGACTAGACCATGTACTTTTTGATTCCATCTGACATCTGGTAGACTAGACGACGTACTTTATTTGTGTACCCCTCTGACAACTGGTAGACTAGACGACATACTTGTGTACCCCTCTGACAACTGGTAGACTAGACCATGTACTTTTGTGTACCCATCTGACAACTGGTAGACTAGACGACGTACTTCATTTGTGTATCTCTCTGACAACTGGTAGACTAGATGACGTAATTTGTGTTCCCCTCTGACAACTGGTAGACTAGACCACGTACTTTATTTGTGTACCCCTCTGACATCTGTTAAACTAGACCACGTACTTTGTGTACCCCTCTGACATCTGGTAGACTAGACGACGTACTTTGTGTACCCTCTGACATCTGGTAGACTAGACGACGTACTTTATTTGTGCATCCCTCTGAGAGCTTGTAGACTAGACCATGTACTTTTTGTACCCCTCTGACAACTGGTAGACTTGATGATTTACTTTTTGTGTGTTCCCCTCTGACAACTGGTACACTAGACCACGTACTTTGTGTGCCCCTCTGACAACTGGTAGACTAGTCGAAGTACTTTGTGTACCTCTCTGACAACTGGTAGACTAGACCACGTACTTTTATTCGTGTACCCCTCTGACAACTGGTAGACTAGACCACGTATTTTGTGCACCCTCTGACAACTGGTAGACTAGACCATGTACTTTGTGTACCCTCTGACAACTGGTAGACTAGACGACGTACTTTATTTGTGTACCCCTCTGACAACTGGTACACTAGACCATGTACTTTGTGTACCCATCTGACAACTGGTAGACTAGACCATGTACTTTGTGTACCCCTCTGACATCTGGTAGACTAGACCATGTACTTTGTGTACCCATCTGACAACTGGTAGACTAGACGACGTACTTTATTTGTGTACCCATCTGACAACTGGTAGACTAGACCACGTACTTTATTTGTGTACCCATCTGACATCTGGTAGACTAGACCACGTACTTTATTTGTGTACCCATCTGACAACTGGTAGACTAGACCACGTACTTTGTGTACCCCTCTGACAAATATAAATTGACACGGCTCACATGGCCGACGGCTATAAATAGACAATGCCATTTTGAAAGTAGCCAAATGTATTTGATGTATATGATGTATTTGGGCTGACACTTTTAAGTAAAGCATGCATTCTAGAACCCCCAAAGTTCTAGAATCTGTAATTTACTGAGAAAGTGTAATCTCAAATACAACAAATGTTACGTCTGACCACTTTCTAAATGGTATTGTGAATCCATAAGAATAGTGTATCTGTAAGCACTATAGAACGCTCTTCCAGTTCTACACGCAATACAAAGAACGTGCAATCACATAAATACCTCTTGCATATTCTTCTTCCAATTCCTTGGTCACGACGGCCCCAAATCGTGATATGTTTGATTTCAGCTTTGACAAGCCGTTGGTGTTAAAGGCAGCTGCGGGTATGTCCTGTGTTTGAGTCTCAACAGTGTCAAGGAAAGCCCGAGTTGCCTCCCTTACAGAACTCTCCAACTCCAGGAGGTCTGATTGTGAGGCATACGTGAGAACCTTGGTGACGTAGTCTAAAACCTCAGAGCATTTCTTCGAAACTTCTTCACATGTGTTTAGCTGAGTACGGAGACTTGTCTTGGCCGCCTTCGTCTGACCTTCAAGATCAGTCAGAAGTTCCTTCTCTCGTTGGTCAAGTTGTGATCGCAGACTTCTAAAAGTATGGCCAATATTTTCTGTCAACGTGTTGTGCGTTGTATCTGTGATTTCGGTCCCTCGTCTGATATTCTGAATGTGGGATTGTTGGCGAGCTTGTAAGGTTGCCAGCTCAGTTTTGCGTTGGTCCAGCTGTTTGAGGATACTTTTAGCTACCACATCTAACTTCTCAACTTCATGATCTGCGTGATCTTCAAATCTGCATCTTCCACAAATCAAAATGTTGCATCTCCGATCTAAAAGATAAAGAGAGTCAGGGCTGTGGATACTGCAAGGGGTTGGAATGTTTGAGACAGCTGGTTTAAAGTCGCTGAGGTTTTGAAGTACATGTTTTCTTGTAAGTTTGAAGTTGCTGTGCATATTCTGGCAGTATTCACAGAGGAGCTCTTCACACTCCCGACACCAACACACAGCCTGGTTGCCGTCATCTTCGTGTGTACAGAGAAGCTCTGTGGGGCGATGTTGGACTGTCAGATGGAATATTTCTTTCTGTCTAACTGCATCCTTCTTGAGCCTTGTGTCTGTGAGGTTGACCTCCGTCTGACAAGAAGAGCATGATATCACACCACCAGCTGCAGATGTCACACACGTCTCACACACAGCATGTAGACAGGGCAGTAGGTAGGGGGCGGGGCCTTTGAGGACAAACTGCTGATGACAGACAGAACACTTGGGGAAGATGTCCATTCTGGAAGACAGTAGACTTTAATGAGTGATCTCTGTTATATTTCCCTTTATGGTGAGATAGGTAGTTTGCAAACCAACATATAGTTGGCACCCAAAGAACAGCTAACAAACATCTCAATTTTATACCGAACGTCAAATCGCTGATTGAGACCAAGGCATTTGAGTCCACAGTAGAAATCTTAAAAGCGCCTTTTTAAAATCTTCCTTTCTGCCACAAACTAGAAATATTCGGTCCTGGTCAGTATCTATCTATCCTGTTGCTTTGCACAGTTTCGTTTGTGCCATACAGTAGTAAACACTGAACTTTTTAATCTGTAATTACACATGTTCATATTTCAAGTACTCGTCTGTAGACATTTCACTTCGTGACAATACAGTCGTAACAACACCTGTTTTTTCAAAGATGGTTATTGTGACGTACAAGCCCTGATCGACCAATCTCTTTCCTATATTTTCTATATTCATTGAAGAATGTACCATAACGCTGATGTAACATTTTGTAAAAACGTATTCCTGATGTGTTACAAGACATAGTAAGCATTTCAAGTATTCCAACTTTGCATTGTCCGCTTGTCCAACTATTTCAAATAAGACATATGTCTGTGTCCTCAACACAGTGTCCTGTTGAGTTAGCCCCATTGTAGAATAACAACTAGTGTCTGACATTCACATATTTTCAGGACTGATGATTCCTAAACTATATTAATTATATGTTAGATTAATTAGATATAATAAAAGGTGCTCGGAGACACATATAGGAAAGCAACAAAGCGTGAAGATCCGCGTTAGAAAAGTCGCAAGAGTCGACTAACGGTATCGGGTGGTCAGGATCTCTGACTTGGTCGACACATGTTATTGTATCAAATTCCGTGGATGATAAATATAGGTTATCACGCGAGTGTGTTTTTGGGATGGTTAATATCCTGCATTAGGAATAATCATTGTATTAGCGAGCCTTGGCGAGACACGACCGGACACGACCGCCGACCCTTGACGCCATGTTTGTTTACACTGTGAAAGTAGTCCCTGAAATTTGCATATCACCTCTCTAATTTGCATCGATATCCGTATATGACCCCAACGGATACCGAAAATATCCGTTGGCTTTTATCCTGCCGAGAACACTATCCATTGTATGATAATGCAGTTGATCACTTGATTGCCTGGTCCAGTCTTGATTATTTTCAGACTGCAGCGTTTCACACCAAACAAGAAACAGCAGCAAAACACAAATTACAACACGCGACAGGCTGTATTTTGACAGAACTGACGCCTGTTGATTAGTGCTACTCCGTGTCTGTATATGCTTGTCCTCCTTTATGTCCACGAAATACTGGTCGCCCGACAACATATCCACATTCTATCCACAACACACAGAGGAGAGGCGGTTCGATAACAACGAGAGCTCCCTCGCCACATATATCCATACAAGGTATACCCTTGCAGTGCAGTCTTTTCATAACGACAACAATAAAAAAGCTATTCATTCAACCGATCTTTTCCCTGCTTTCAACATCGGCGCAGTGATAACTGGTTAGATTGATTTTGTGTATAGCGCACTTTTGAACTAAAGCGACACGATACGACAAAGGCTTGACGGTGCACAATATGACACAAAGACAGTGTGTCGTGGCGTATGTGACTAGCTAGCTGATTCGATTTTGTACAAAACGTACTTTTAAACGGTAGAGGCTTGCTGTGCACGATGCGACACAATTACGATGAATCATGGCGTGTATGAGTGGCGAAGCTGCCATCATCGTAGAACAAAAGTAGAAACTTGTTGTTGTTACGTATCACAAATAACCAGGATTTACAACGTACGACCATGGTATTTGTATCTCCAGCAATAACAACGTGGCAACGTGACATATACTAGCAAATGTTAGACCAGACAGATAACCGTGTACTGGCCTGCGAGATGAGAGACAGTTACAACACACCTACCTGGACAAATAGCTTCCTTCTCTGTGGCACAGAGGTCGCTTCCGGCAGATGACACGTGACTAACATACTTGAAGTGTAATCTATCCGGTGCATGTTTACAGTGTTACTGCCTGACTGCATATTCGTGCTGTCAGGCGAGCATCCTCGATAATCTCCAAGCCGTGGATGCATCCAGGGTATAGTGGAGAGTGATCGTAACGTATACCCTGGAGGTTATCGAGGATATCAGGCGAGTAGCAAGCCATGTTTTTCGTGTAAGCCCAATAGGTTGCCAAGCTTTATAATTAGATAGTATTGAGTGCTTTCCCAACTTTCATGCTGATCTTTAGCAAACATCATATATGTAAGCCCGGGATTTTTTATAATGGTAGCTGAGTCATTCTCAAAATATGCAGCTTTTCCCCGTATCGGGATTAAAACCTCAATAAAACCGTCAAATTTTATCAGTGTGTTAAAATCTGATTTCTACTTCATTGCCAATGTCTAATCTTACTTGGGAATTTTTATCACAAACAAAAGGATCAAATACTGTTTATTTTTTTTTCCTTTTTATAACAAGGGGCATGCATTTTGTCATGTATCCAAGCGCAAAAACCAAACATCATGTGTCTGCTGCGCAATAAATTTTATTTAAGAAGACATTGTTTCTGGAGGGTTGAAAGAATAGACCTTTTTCCCCACTCCTGGTAGATGTTCATGATTTTCAAGTTGAATTTTGATATAAAAACATCTTTGTTTTCTTGTATACAAGAAAAATGTCTTTCCTGTAACAGTTCCATAGAATTATGAAATAATTAATGATCCCTCATCCTGTGAAAGTGGAACTACATGTTATGCTTATTAACAACTTCTGGTTGAGAGTGATGAACATGTGGTGTTGAGTTCAAGACGAAATTTTCAAAGAAAATCAAGTTGAAAAGGTCAGCATTTTCGAGTTTTTTTAACGGTGTCTTTTAAGTAACATCAATTATTAAAAAAATACCCAATTTTCCACAAGTATGTTTTTTTCTTTTTGCATTTGGAACCATAATTATAACACAAGAATGTTGTCTGAAATGGGAAAGGGACTAGACATTATTTTTTCTCTTAATTTACTCTTACAATTTGTCTTTTCATATAACAGTCTTTTCTGTAACAGCTATTTTGTTATTGGAAAGACCTCGAGTGTTACTTCAAAGAAACATCAACATTGATTAGTCACATATTCTTTTTAGTTTAATGTTAATGTCATTAACAGTTGACTTGTGGTAATGATCTAAGGTTTATATATGCTGAGGTTGAAACATGTTTCAGACTTTCTTGTCTGAATGCAATCATACTAATTCTTGTCAAAAGGTCGTTATTGGAAAGACAAATTCTGTAACTGCAAAGACAATTCAATACAAATTTGAAAATAAACGTTATCTCCGGTAGGTCTTTGTTCATCTAGATTTGCTTTGTGCTCATATTATGACCTTAAAGATCATATTTTGAGTAACAATCCAGATTTTCCCTAAAAATGTGTATGCTATATGTCTTTCAACTTATGTTGTTACAGTTTTAAAGACAGTTTATCACTTATTAACTTTCATTTTTGTCTTTCTTTCCTGATTCATTCAGATGAGCATTAAATCTACGAGATAAGATTACCTTATGCTTCACAAGAAAGTCTGTTTTAGAAACTTTGAATGCTTTTATGCATTTTCAAATACTGTCATTTGAAAGACAGTGTGTGACTATGACTATAATATGATAATAATATGACATCGTAATGATCAGTCTGCAAAACCATCAAAGTGTTAACATCTAGTTTCCTATGTAAAGTTAATGTGTCATAATCACAAACAAAATATCAATGAAACATTCATTTCAGTATGTTTTTCAGAACTGGAAAATATACACTGGATGTTACAACCTTTAAATCGTTGAGAAATCCACTTAACAAATAGGTCAGTGTTAACAATATTTTGAACACTTACGCATAGCTAAGACCAGAAATATAAATTAATTTCCTCACTTCAGTAACCCATGACTTTCGGTTATTATCGTCCATTCTTTTTAACATAGGTTTGTTAATGATATCTAGTCGCTTCCATAATTAATATTTTACACCAATACTTAACTCTTCTTATTATAGAATCACAACAAATATAATGACGACTGCATTCAGATAAAACAGCTGTGTTTGTTGTGGTAATACCAACACCAAAAACATAAGAAATCTTTCTGGCATTATCCGTTCATGAAACCCCATATTTCCAAGCAATACGTGGCGATAGGCTTAACTTCAATCATTTGAAATAAGACAGGGGCAAAAGATTTTGTAATTTATGATGAAGCTGTATATTTGGAAGAAGGGCTTTATTAGCATAATGAACGAGAGTCTGGACTGCTTTAGACCAAGATAAGCTGCTGGAAACTGAAATACCCAAATAGCTGTAATAGCTTGTAGTTTCCAACTTCACATAGTAAAACATCCATTCTTCGATCTTCTTTAATATACCTCCGTTGCGAAAATGCAATTATAAATTTGTTTTTTGCAAAATTAACATTTAAGCTCAATTTTGTGCAAAATGTGGATGAAATATTAAAAGTTCCTTTGTAAAGCTATAACTGTGTCAGAAAATAGACATTAATCATCAGCATAGAATAATAAAGAACTCTAAAAATTCTGCTCCAACAAAATACCTCTTCCTTTGTTTTACAAAGATACTGAATAGAAATTGGACTTAGTATACATCCTTGGCGTACAGCAATCAAGGAATTGTAATATTCTTAAATACTACAATTTGATAGTTTTACAGCTGAAATTGATTTAATGTACGCAATATTGAAAGCATTTACCCCGAATATTGTTTACACAATCAAATGCTTTATGGAAAATCAATATATAAACAATAAAAAAACGACCTTTAGACTAAGACAAGTATTTTTTGAATTAAAGCCTGTAAGCTGAAAATATTGTCAACAGCTGAATAGCCTGAGCGGAATCCAGCTTGACATTCTGTATCAACAAATGATTTCAGACTTTCACTTAAAATATAAGTGAATATGTTTTCGCATATGTCCATCAAGGAAATACCTCTATAGTTATAAACATCCTTTCTGTTCCCCTTCTTGTGAAGTGGAAAGATAATACATTGTGACCAAGCAGAGTTAAAAATACATTTAAACAGTACATACAAATAAGGTAGTTAAATATGACCTTCGTGTTCCACATTTCAGGAGGCAGTCCATCAGGACCACATGCCAAGTTTTAAAGCTGATAATTTTGTTATTTCATTTATGGTTATCTCTTTATTTAGAATTTTATTGGAGTCATCATCAATCAATGTAAATTCATTTTGCAATATATCCTACTTGGCAAAGGTTATAACATTTTCGTCTATGTTAACATCTCAAATATTCAGATTCTGAATATTTTTAGAGTAATCAACCCATTGCAAACTGCTGATAGATGTAGCCTGTGTAACCGGTTTACCTGATAATGACTTAACACCAGACCAGAATGTTTTATAGTTACCATCCTTACATGACTGTACCAAATTATTTCACCAGGAGGCATTTCTTTGTGAATTCTTTCGGATGATGCACCAAGCAACGAAGTCTGTTGGCAGTTAAACTGGTATCATTGTATAGTAGGTGTGGTCAAATGATGACACTTGACCATTGCAGTGTGGAATATACCCCAGACATATTCTCAGCTAACTGAATCCTGCAAGTGTGCGTTGTTGTTAACAGATCTAGAGATACACAACAACACAGACGATGAAAGGTGTATAGCGGCATCATCATTATTGAAACAATGATGTGTAACGTCTAGTGGTGTTCCGATTAATTGAAATAATCGAAGATTGGTCGCAGTGACCAAACGACCAAGCAATCGATCACATTTTCTCATAATCGAACATAAACGATTTTGGAACTAATGCTTTAGTCTTTGAAATACTTGACGATGGAAAATATCGTTGAAGTTGTCAGGGCCTGAAAACGTGTTTAATTCTTAGAAAACTCACTTCACTAACTGAAAACATATGACTGAATATTTCTTGAAGACTCCGGGAAGTTTATGTTCATGATATATTAGTCATCATTTGAAAGTAGCAAGTTGCATCATGTTATACATATCTGCAATAACAACCTGGATAGGAAAATCTGAAAAATGACGCTAACCAATTTTTGTCGAGGATTGTTCGTTGGTAATGAAGCAATCATCAATTGTGAGATTTCAACCAATTCCCAACACTAGTAACGTCCCTTGACCCCGAACGAAAACTCATACTGTTGAAACTGTTGGAACGGAAGACGTATTAACGGATGTGACCTCCAAGGACGACCGTGACAGCAACGCGACGTCTTTACGTGGACAGGATAACCTGTCGGAAGACTCCAACCCGAAGTCGTCGCCAGTGCTCATAAACTTCATCTGCTGTCGCTGTCGTCTTCTGAGCTCATCCTAAATGTGTTCGATCTGGTTCAAGTCTGGAGAACGGGAAGGCAAGTGGGTGACATCAAGACTAGCTTTAAATAAGAAGTTGGTGTGACGTCACAAGCGGCGCCCCATTCATTGTGCGATCATCGTTGCCCGTCTGTTGTACACGTGACGTCAGGTCCTACGACTACATTCCAAATCCCGTACAACTGTCACAGCTGAGTGAGTCTCGGTACACCTGCCCTTTCAAAGCACTTTTTGATGCATTTCCCTGTTAAACAATGTCTTAATGTTTTATTCTAATGCTCCTGCGATAACCACGTGACTCGCTGAACATTATTATTGTGTTTCACTCTTTTTCACGCTTTGTGATTAAATTGTTTTCTCGTCGGTCTCCAACACCATGTTGTCACCCGCCGTGATGTTGCTGGAATATTGCTAAAAGCGGCGTAAAACCAAACTCAGTCAGTCAGTCCAACACCATGTCGTTACCGTGTGTGAGACACAAAAACATAATGAAAACGTTCATCCACCTCCCAATTATGTACCAATAATATGGGTGTCACGTTTCTTATTTGGTTGAGTATATATCAGACTTCAGCGAAAAAAATATTTACTACGTGGGAACTTGAATGCTAATGCATCTTGACCATACTGTACCCCTTGCGTTGTTCGTGTTAAAGAATTGATGGCGAGAGGCCACCAAGAGTTGTTTCCCCTACTATATATA